CCAATTTCTCTTACTTCGCACTTATGTAAGGTAATGGAAAAAATTATAAATCAGAGACTAACATATTTTATGGAAACTAAAAGGAATATTTGTAATTATCAAAGTGGATTTAGAAAAGGTAGATGTACTATGGACCCTACAGTATGTTTGGAACATGAAATACGAAGAGCTCAGGCTAATAGAGAAAGTGTAGTGGCAGTATTTTTTGACATCGAGAAAGCTTATGATATGATGTGGAAAGAAGGGTTAATAATTAAATTGAGAAAAGCAGGAGTTAAAGGAAAAGATAAGATGGATTAAAGGTTTTCTATTTGGAGTATCTATTCAAGTAAAGATTGGGAAAGAATTTCCAGAGATAATAAAGGTAGAGAATGGAACACCACAAGGGAGTATAATTAGTCCTTTATTATTTTCTATTATGGTTAATGATGTGTTTTTAAGTGTTGAAAAAGGAATAGGAATTTCTCTTTATGCAGATGATGGTGCAATCTGGAAACGAGGGAGGAATTTAGAGTTTGTTGTAAGGAAAGTGCAAGAAGCAATAACAGAAGTAGAAAGGTGGTCATATAAGTGGGGTTTTAGATTATCTGTTGAAAAAAACAAAAAAATGTATTCTTTTCAAACTGTAGGATTAGTAAAGAGGTAAAATTGAAATTATATGGTCAAGATATAGAAAGAGTATCATGTTTTCAATTTTTGGGTATATGGTTTGATGAAAAACTCACGTTTAAAATACACATAAAAAAAATAGTTGCTAAATGTAAAAGGGTAGTGCATGTTATGAGATGTTTAGTGGGGAAAGAATGGGGACCTGAGAGGACGGCTCTAAGAAGTATACAGTGGGGAAAAAAAGTATTTAGTCAGCCACCAATTGTGCAAGTTCTCCCACTTAAAAAGATGAGAGAGGCCTGTAATTTTCATCATAGGTATACCTCAACTATGAGAGACAAAATGAGAAAAAAAAATCCAGAAAATCACATTGTAGGATTTTTAAAGAAATTATTTGCAAATTATGGTGGAAAATAAGTATTTGGTCAATAACAAAATTGCATCTCAATACTTTGTTATATACCCTTTGTTGACATGAAACTGGAAAATGTGAATATTGTAATATGGAGGAAAATGTAGAGCATGTTATAATGAAGTGTCCAAGATACGGAAAGGAAAGAAAGATACTTACTGATGTCCTCAAGGAAAATAAAGAAAACTTAATTTGATGAACATTCTGGGGAATAAATCAGGGGATAAAAACTTTCAATTTTGAATGCGTTATTTAAAGGACACGGGATTATATAATAGAATTTAGTCTACTCTTCACTACTCTTTAGTGAAGAGTAAGGTCCTGATCAGTAGGTGGCGGTAATGCACCTAAAAGTTGTATGCCATCCGCCATTAAACACCAAGAAGAAGAAGGAGAAGAAGGATAGGCAGGCATGCTGTTGGAGAAGCACATGAAGCTGCTGCGGCTGTACGGCGGGCTGCTGATCCAGCGAGCGCACAAACACACCGCGACGCGGCTCTCCGAGAAGAAGCTGGTGCGTATACGCGTCTCAGCCGCGCGTCAGCGGCCTCTCTCCGCGCAGAGCCGCTGTCTGACTCGGTCTCTCTCCGCGCAGAGCCGCTGTCTGACTCGGTCTCTCTCCGCGCAGAGCCGCTGTCTGACTCGGTCTGTCTCCGCGCAGAGCCGCTGTCGGAATAATTCTCGCTCATGGGGAGACATGAAACTGGAAAATGTGAATATTGTAATATGGAGGAAAATGTAGAGCATGTTATAATGAAGTGTCCAAGATACGGAAAGGAAAGAAAGATACTTACTGATGTCCTCAAGGAAAATAAAGAAAACTTAATTTGATGAACATTCTGGGGAATAAATCAGGGGATAAAAACTTTCAATTTTGAATGCGTTATTTAAAGGACACGGGATTATATAATAGAATTTAGTCTACTCTTCACTACTCTTTAGTGAAGAGTAAGGTCCTGATCAGTAGGTGGCGGTAATGCACCTAAAAGTTGTATGCCATCCGCCATTAAACACCAAGAAGAAGAAGGAGAAGAAGGATAGGCAGGCATGCTGTTGGAGAAGCACATGAAGCTGCTGCGGCTGTACGGCGGGCTGCTGATCCAGCGAGCGCACAAACACACCGCGACGCGGCTCTCCGAGAAGAAGCTGGTGCGTATCCGCGTCTCAGCCGCGCGTCAGCGGCCTCTCTCTCCGCCCAGAGCCGCTGTCTGACTCGGTCTCTCTCCGCGCAGAGCCGCTGTCTGACTCGGTCTCTCTCCGCGCAGAGCCGCTGTCTGACTCGGTCTCTCTCCGCGCAGAGCCGCTGTCTGACTCGGTCTCTCTCCGCGCAGAGCCGCTGTCTGACTCGGTCTCTCTCCGCGCAGAGCCGCTGTCTGACTCGGTCTCTCTCCGCGCAGAGGCTGTCTAGCTGGGTCTCTCTCCGCGCAGAGCCGCTGTCTGGCTCGGTCTCTCTCCGCGCAGAGCCGCTGTCTGACTCGGTCTCTCTCCGCGCAGAGCCGCTGTCAGTAGGGTTGCCAACTTCAGAAAAGGAAAATAAGGGACAATCGTGGTTTTACATAGAAAAATAAGGGACATAATAAGCGACACACACACACACACACACACACACACACACACACACACACAGGTATATCTTTCAGATTTGTAATGCTTTTTTAAATAGTCGTATGCTCATCAATGCTGTATTTATTTGATCAAAAATACAGAAAAAACAGTAATATTGTTAAATATTATTGCGATTTCTAATATTGGTTTCCTATCTTATTATACTTTAAACTGTAATGTATTTCTGTGATGCGCAGCTGTATTTTCAGCATCATTCCTCCAGTCTTCAGTGTC